GAACATAGCATATAAGGGGGGGGGAGGGGATCGGAATTGTTGGGAGTTACAGACAAACCAATCTGATCTTGCCTTTCGAAAGGTACATTAATATTCTTCTCCATCATCATCATCTTCCACACCTTCAGCACCAACTTCTTCATAATCTTTCTCGAGAGCAGCCAAATCCTCACGTGCTTCGGAGAACTCTCCTTCCTCCATGCCTTCACCGACGTACCAGTGGACGAAGGCTCTCTTGGCATACATGAGATCGAATTTGTGGTCAATGCGCGAGAACACCTCTGCAACTGCTGTGTTGTTGCTGATCATGCAAACAGCTCGCTGCACCTTGGCAAGATCACCTCCGGGTACAACTGTTGGGGGCTGGTAGTTGATACCACATTTGAAGCCAGTTGGGCACCTATGAAAATACAAACAGAACAGGTTACATTTCAAATCAAAAGAAATGCTCTCTGACGAAAAATACTTCAACAGCATGGAACATTATTAGTAGGCTGTATTTTTCACTTCGTACATCCTAGCATTATATGGAACATTCCTTACCAGTCAACGAACTGAACTGTCCTCTTGGTTTTAATGGTAGCAACAGCAGCATTAACATCCTTGGGAACAACATCCCCACGGTACATCAAACAGCATGCCATGTACTTCCCGTGTCTTGGATCACATTTGGCCATCATACTTGATGGCTCAAATACTGCATTTGTAATCTCAGGAACAGACAGCTGCTCGTGATATGCTTTTTCAGCTGAGATGACGGGCGCATATGATGAAAGCATGAAATGGATACGGGGGTATGGAACAAGGTTGGTCTGGAATTCGGTAATATCCACATTAATGGCTCCGTCGAATCTCAATGAAGTTGTTAAGGATGATATAATCTGAGATATCAATCTGTTCAAATTGGTGTAGGTTGGCCTTTCAATATCTAGGGATCTTCGGCAAATATCATATATAGCCTCATTGTCCAAAAGCACTGCCACATCAGTGTGCTCCAGAAGAGAATGAGTTGAAAGAACACTGTTATAGGGCTCTACAACTGCGGTTGAGACCTGAAATCACAGTGAAACCTACTTCAGTTAAGCCACAGATAACTTAAATTCATTACAGCACAAACATCATCATAGATCCACAAGCAGCACAAAATTTCAAAACAAAAACTCACACAGCAAACATCTTTTTCAGACGGTAACCACATGAGAGTTACCATCTTCCTGAACTGTTTTCTAAACATGATTTATCTATATACTTTTCTAATGCTAACCTCTTTTTGAAGAGGGAAATAGCAAGACCATTATCGTTATGATGTCATGCTGAATAGTCTCAATACTGCAAGCGTACAGAACCTCGCAAAGTTTTCAAATATAGGGGGACAACAAACACGCCCCATCACAGAGTGAATTTTATTTTTCGCTAATAACCATGATTACCTGTGGAGAAGGATAGATTGTGAATCCGAGTTTTGACTTCTTCCCATAATCTACCGATAAGCGCTCTAGCAACAAAGACCCCAGACCAGAACCAGTGCCACCACCGACAGCATTAAACACCAAAAACCCCTGCAAGCCAGTGCAGTTGTCAGCCAATTTCCTTACTCGATCAAGGCATAGATCTACAATTTCCTTGCCAACTGCCAAAAAAAAAAAAGAATCAAAAACCACATCAGCAAACATTAGAAACAAAATAAAAGAGCCTCTTTTCATGAAAAATAAAACAGCTTTTAAATAATTTCCAGCATTGCTCTCACCTGTGTAATGTCCTCTCGCAAAGTTATTGGCAGCATCTTCCTTGCCAGAAATAAGCTGCTCGGGGTGGAAAAGTTGTCGGTAACCACCAGTCCTGACTTCATCGATAACAGTTGGTTCCAAATCAACAAATACAGCCCTAGGCACATGCTTGCCCGCACCAGTCTCACTGAAGAAGGTGTTGAAAGCGTCGTGTGCGACACCAAACGAAGTGTCACTGTAAACACAAGAAGATCATTTCATTAGTCACTCACCTTAATACGATCTACGCTACAAAACAAATATTTCAAAATCAAGCAACAGAAACCTAAAACACCGATACTTCATAATTTCGAAATTACAGGGAATCAAATAGAGAACGTTCGACTGCAGAACGGCTGACGGATTAACTTCGCCAAACTCGAGAAAACCTGACTAGATTCTACTTGAATCCGGAGTAAGTACAAGGAAATCGCGGATCGTTCACAACACAACAATAAAATCAACAGCAACCCACAGATCTATAATTACTTGTACAAAATCCAGAAACAAAATGAAAAGAGAGAAAAAACACAGAGATCGATCAGAAATGAATTTAAATTCTGCACATATCACACATATAAAGAAAGAACGAAACCGCACATTTCTTCCACCAAATCAAAAAGGAAATGAACAATGCAAATTACATCGACAGAAATGAATTCACCTAGGCATCATTCCGTCGGGCTGGATGCCATGTTCCAGGCAGTAAAGCTCCCAACATGCGTTTCCGACCTGAATCCCCGCTTGTCCTATATGCACGCTTATAATCTCTCTCATCTCTGCCTTTTTTTCCTCACAAATGCAGAACCAAAAACCCTAACCCTAGCCCTACCCGACCTCTCTTCCAATCTCAGATCTGTCCTCGAACGTTCTTCTCCCACCAATGGAGAAAACTGAAAACACGATGGTATCAGATCTCTCTTTTCTCTCTTGAATATATAAATAAAAATTCAAATTAATAAAAAATATATTTAGAAATTATATTTTTTTTTTTTTTTTTGGGGTTGAATTTAATAGGATTTGATAAATTTTTGGGATCCGCCCAAGAAAAGGGGGGCCCCTCCTCATTGGCGCCAGCCATAAACGGGCCCCACAGAGTGTTTTGCCCGTTCTTATGAAATGACGTTATTGCCCTTTGACTTCGTTGACCGTAACGAATTCTCGGAGGGCTAAAATGGAAAAATGAGTAAAAACCAGTCATGTGCTTTGAACAGGTGTATATGGTAGGTTGATAATGTGACCCAATAAACCATGCGATGCTTCGCTGTTCTGTGTAATAATAATTTTGTTCTATTCGTTTAATTTATTTTTTAAAAATAATCTAACATAAATTACATTTTTTTACGATAAAATGATACGACGATATTCGAATATAACGAACTCGTAAGTATAATATATTTAAATAATAATAATAATCAAATATATTTTAAATTTATCGTTGGTCGAATTTGCTACTCGTATAAATATATTAAGATCGAATTTAATTAAATTCGACTTTAACCTATGCCTTTGTTGTTTTTACGTTAAAATCGTGATATAATTTTATATTTATTTAAAGATAACCCGTCAACAACAGCAAAAAAAACATAGCAAATGGTTTTGGTGTTGGAGAAGGATTAAACTTTTCTGATCAAGTATTTTTCTTACTATACGTATATACGCTATTATAAAATTACGAAGCTTAATATATAGAAACAAAAATTAAATACGGTGATCGTAAAAAGTAAAATGAAATTTATTGGTTTGTAGTTTTAAATATAAGATATAAATATAAATCAAATTTTTTAAAATAAATTTTTTTATATTTTTTACGATGAAATGATACGACAGTATTCGAATCAGACGATCTCGTAAGTATAATATATTTCTAAAAAAATAATAATAAAATGTGTTTTAAAATTTTGATGGGTCGAAATTGGTACTCGTATAAATTGATTAATATCGAATTTGATTAAACACGACTTAAACTTACCCTCTTACGTTAAAATCATAATATAATTTTATATTTATTTAAATATAACCCATCAATAACAACAAAACATAGTAATAGTAATTTTACTATATGTATATACACCATCATAAAATTATCGAGACTTACAAAAATCAAATATGGTGATTGTAAAAAGTGAAGATGAAATTTATTGGTAGGTGGTTTTAAAGATGTGTTAGAAATTATGAACATCAAATATTATATATATATATATATATATATATACCATGGACCTACAAAATTGAAGGTTGTGTACTAAGCAGTCTAGTGTCTGCCGGGTGTTGGCCAAACAAGGTTGGTTATGACATAATCTCATATACTATAGTTTTTTTTATTTATTTTTTTATAATATAAGATATATTTATTTTACTTTAGTAAATAATTAAATATTAAATTTTTTATTCACAAAAATATAAATTATTAATTTAATTAACGTTAAGATAAATATTTGCACATATATATATATACACACACGTATAAATATGGAATTATAATTATCTTGCGTATATTAATTTATTAACAAAGTAGATAGAATATTGCTTTTAAGACCAAATGTATGTATATGTCAACTTTTGCATGTTAATATTAAATATTTTTAATGAAATATTCTAATGGTGCATTTATTCGATATTTATTTATTTTACGAGTTCGAATATTATTAAATAATAATAATATTTATGAAAATACAACATTATATAAGACTTTAATTTATTTAATTAGGTTCCTAAGTTTTTTAATTTTATAAATTAAGAAAAATTATTACATTTATGGACCAAATTATTTACTTGTTTATTTCAATATTTGATGGGTATTTTTCATATTTGAGTTATTTTTTTTTATAATTTCACAAACCCAAAAAACCATACCAACTTAGATTATTTTAATTTTTGAAACCCATAAAATATTTTTTTAAGATAAGATTCAAATTAAATATTATTTTATTTATAAACCCATAAAACATTTTTTTTAAAGTGTGAGGCCCATAAAGAATTCCATATATATCTCTCTAAAAAATTTCCATAAAAAAAGAGAAATAATTCTCACATTATCTTCAATTTTAATACAAAATTCCTTCACCCCACAAAAAAAAAAAAAAAAAAATTGTAAATTTGCTCGAATTTGTTGAAGAATCACATTATTTTACATAACCCATTTTGGTACGTGTGTGTATATATACATATATATTGTAAAAAATAGTGATTTCAAATACGAAACATTGATAAATTATACTCGGTATGTTTATTACGTTATGATAAGTAATATTTGTAAAGATAAAACGTACATTTATCAATAATGGTTAGTTTAATATGATTGTTAATTTAACTCGTAACATTTTAATGAGTAAAACTTTTGGTAAAAATATATATATTTTTTAATTTATTAAAAAATTTATACGGGTAACAATATACGAATTCTAAATCAATAATTTCAGCTTTTTTAAAACACGAAAGCGATAATTATTGAGTTAAATTAAATCGATTAGTAATATCTTTTTGGTTTATTTGCAATTAAGAGTATTTTTATTGGCAAATACCCAATAAATATAAATTATAATTAACTTAACAATTAATTTTTGTTTTATTCCAAATTTATTAAATACATAATTTATATAAATTATAAAATTTTAAATCTTGAAAAAAGTCAAAAAATTCCCTCCTAATCATAAAGTCAACAATCGCGGGCGACAACTCCAAAGAGAATGGTTCATCTGGTAAATTCAGATGAACGGGAAGGGTAATTTGGTAATCACACGAGTCGTAACACGTGTCTTCCCGATTGGTTGGCGGAGAAGTGAGAGGCAAAGCTGAGGTCCTCGTAAGGCGGAAAGTATTAATTTCTGAAACAGTGAATTTACCGCAATACCCTTGGCTTGTCTTGTAATTTACGTAAAAACCGATTTTTGTTTTTTTTTTTATTTTGCCCGAATAGCGTGATTCACAACCGAACCAGCTGCGGGATATTGATGCTAACGAGACGGGTAATCGGGTACGGGGCGGTTACGACCCGTCCGTTTAATAAAATTTTATTTATTATGTACATGTTCTATATACATATATATATATATATATATATATACAGATAATTAATCTTCAATTTCTTATGGTGATACTTTATTTTATAATTAATTTATTTATAATTTTTTAAAACAAATTTTATATTATTATTGGCACACATATTCTCCTATATCTATACATTTAGAATTTTAATATAGAATATTATTAATAATTAAATGGTCAAAATATAATTTAATTATTTACATTTAAAAAAATTAAATAATTTAAAAAATAAACAATTTATAATAAATATCAAAATTTATAAAAACTAATTTCATAATTTAACACGAAATATAATATTATAAACAAATTTACTTAAATAAATCCAATTCATTTCAACTTTATATGCTAAAATTGTTTTTTTTCTAACTTTTATTTGTAAGTTTAGTTTTGATTAGATTCGTGAAATATTATATACATATATATATATACATACATTATTATAGTAAAGGGCCAAAATAATTTCACAAGTTGGTTTATATTACCCTATACTAGATTGATGTCAATCGGTCAAATTCGATTTAATATAATTAATTCATAAGTTCCCATTTACCCTTTACAAAATAATACTAATTGTTTTTTTATTAGATTAATATGTAAATACATACGTATATGTATACGTAACATAGTTGATGGATACAATTTTATTTTATAATATTTAATTTATTAATATATTAATAGAGATATAATGATATAGTTGGATTCGGCTAATTAAGTTGTTACGATTTTAGTGAGAAAAATTATTTTATTCGAGTTTATAAAAGTTTAATGAGCATTTGAAATAGTCTTTTTATTTTTATTTTCTAAAGTGATGGTACAAATGTAAATAAGTGCAAATCCGGTGTTAAAAAATAAGAAAAAGAAAATGTTTATTTGATTTTTTTAATTTAAATTTTGTTTATTTATTTATTTTTAATTTGTTCATTTCACGCTGGAGGTTTATCGTGGTAGCTGAAGCAAACCTGGTTCGTGGGTAGGTTTTTGTATTTATATAAAGGTTTCTTTTTTGTGCTTTTCGACTCCTCTCACTTCAACGCTAACTTCATTCCCGTCCTTCTCTCTTGCTTTTTTTTGTGATTCTTTTTTGCTTTCTGAATCCAACAGAAAATGGGGGAGGAGAAGAAGGCTTCATCACCACCTTCTAGTGTTTGGCCGAGCATTAAGCCCTTCGTTAATGGCGGTGCCTCCGGTATGCTTGCTACCTGCGTCATCCAGCCCATCGATATGATCAAGGTATGTCCGTAGTCAATTTATGTGTGGGTGTGTGTGTGTGTCTGCCGCCATGTTAAAGCATAAGAAGCGATTGCTGTGCGGGGTCAGTTTTTCTGGTTTTCTTGAGATGGAAAATGGTTGTTCGAGATCTGGGTTTTGACTGGTTGGTGGGGGAATATCAATTAATTTGTGTTTGTTGTTTTGTGGTTTGGTGATGCAGGTGAGGATTCAACTGGGGCAGGGATCAGCTGGCACTGTGACCAGGACAATGCTTCAGAACGAGGGTGTTGTCGCCTTTTACAAGGTTTTATTTCGTTATGTGATTTGAAATCTTTACTTGTTTTCACTGTTTATCTGCTCATGGGAGCTGAAGTGGTTGTTTTGGTTACTTAGATCTTTGTGTTACGATGAAGATTCTTCCTTGCTGAATTTGATTTTATGTTGATTTGTTATTTAAAAAAATATATGTTGATTTGAGATCTGTAACGAATGTTATTAATGTATCTTTTTTTTTTTTTTTTCTGGGGGGATTACCTGTACGTAATGTTGGTTATTTATGGTTTTAAGCTGAGGCCATATGTAGATAGATATGTGTGGATTGTTATAGAATCACAGCTTTATGAAGGAGAAAGCAACAATGAAAATTTGGTAATGGAAGTTTCAGGGTGGAAGAGAAAGAATTTCGATCAAGCTTTGTTGTTTTGATTTCTAAATTTTGAAGTAATTTGGTGCTGTTAATAAGAATATTGATATGCAAAGTTGTCTAATTTATGTTATTTTTTAACAGGGGCTATCTGCTGGTTTGCTCAGGCAGGCTACATATACTACTGCCCGGCTTGGATCGTTCAAGTAAGTGCTTAATTGAGTACAGACTGAATCATGAAAATATTCTCGTTAGTTATGGTTAGGATAGCTTTATTGTTGTTTGTATTCGATGGTTATGATGTATAACAAATTCAATGCAATAATTTTCTCTGGCCATTTCTTGGTAGGATGTTGACCAACAAAGCAATTGAAGCCAATGAGGGAAAGCCATTGCCTTTATATCAGAAGGCTTTGTGTGGGCTAACAGCTGGTGCTATTGGGGCAAGTGTTGGTAGTCCAGCTGATTTGGCTCTTATCCGTATGCAAGCTGATGCCACTTTACCTGTCGCTCAGCGTCGAAATTACTCAAATGCCTTCCATGCCCTCTATAAGATTGTTGCAGATGAAGGGGTTTTGGCACTATGGAAAGGTGCAGGCCCTACTGTGGTGAGAGCAATGGCATTGAACATGGGAATGCTTGCTTCTTATGATCAAAGTGTTGAGTTTTTCAAGGATTCTCTTGGTTTTGGTGAGGCTACTACAGTGATAGGTAAGAATTTTCAAGGATGCTTTGATGTTTCCTTTTCCATCTATTTCTTTTTGTCTTCCTTCTGCTTCAAAGCTTTTTACAACTTGAAATTTATTCTTTTTTATTTCTTTAACATAAATGTTTGGGTATCTATTTTATATTAAAACCAATCCTTTCTTTAGGTAGGAGAAATATCTCAAATAAATGATATTTGATTTGAAGAAAAAAATAATATTTAGTTTCAAATGTTAGGAATAGATGTTTTATTCATCATTAAAAAATGGTGAAGTTAGTTTTGGATATGTATCTTTTGTTATGGATTATAACCTATCTACCAACATAAATTGCTTAATTTTTGGCATAGTAAACTAAATTTGAATATTGAGTATTGTTCTCAGCCTAGGTAGTTAGGAGGTTTAATGTGGCACAAGAATTAAGTAGTTTAACATTCAACAGCTTATTGCTTCTTATCATAGTTTTTTATTACAACTAAAAAAAATGTTCTGAATAGTTGTTGAATCTTGTGCTTGTTTCCCTGGCATGATAATATGTTAAATATGAAGTTTTAATGAAACTGTGGGATCTATGCTAACAGTTTCTTTTTCTTTTACTGGTTGAACTCTGTCCCTCCCTTTCTCTTTCTTTCTGTTTCCATCTCTCTCTTGATCTTTTTGATTATTTTGATGGTTGGATTACTATTATAGCCAGACTTGCAAATTCTTTCTTATGTTATAACTGCCATTTTAATTGAAGCAATTTGCTGTTTATCCTAGTCAACTCTGACCTCCCAAGAGGAAGTATTTTGTCATCGTGGTGGTTTGGGTTGATATTTAGATGCAAAAGCCAATGAGAAGGCTGAAAAAGTGGATATACGAAAATGACTAAGCTGGTAGTAGATCAATGATAGTAAAGTGCAAGGGATTTGTTATATAACTTCATTGTTTCTAATGGGTATGAGTAAAGTTTTTAAGTCTGGTATGTAAAAATTTTTTCAGCAGATGCAGATTTAATTATAGCATCTTCCTTATAGTCTCTGAAGGTTTCTGAATCATCTTCTATGATGATTCACCTTAATGAGATATATATTTGATGCCCCTACTGTTACTTCATATTGTACACTGCATTTTTTTTTCCTAATGGGTTAGCAATGTATTTTGAGTCACTTTGACAACTGTATACTCCATTCTTGTGATCATAAAAGAAGCTAATACTGATGTTTATTTGCAAGTGGTTGAATCAGTTATGATTTTTTGTTCAGAGAAGTTTCTGAAGGTGTGCTTGTTTGATTGGCTAGTATTTTTAACCTTTTTTCTAATATGGGTCTTGGATAGTTGAGTATAGTATGTTCTCTTTTCAAAATTTGAGTCTTGTTTAATTTGCTTCAGTTCTAGAAACATATGTTTTAACTGTTCCTCTGCTCCGTTTCCTTCTCAGGTGCAAGTGCTGTTTCGGGATTCTTTGCTTCTGCGTGCAGTTTACCCTTTGATTATGTCAAAACCCAAATACAAAAAATGCAACCTGATGCAGAGGGAAAGTTTCCATACAGTGGATCTTTGGACTGTGCAATGAAAACCCTCAAATCTGGAGGACCATTCAAGTTTTACACAGGATTCCCTGTATATTGTGTTAGAATTGCTCCCCATGTTATGGTATGCCCTCTTCTCTCTTATATGTGTATGTGTGGTTGGAGATATATCAATGGTTATAGTTGTTTATGGGTATCCGTGGATATTTTGGTATATCAAAACTGATTTCTGGTTGTTTATGCAGATGACATGGATTTTCCTCAACCAGATCCAGAAACTGGAGAAAAAGGTTGGCTTGTAGGGTCCTGTGGCTGTGAAGGTTTCGAGTGGAGACAAGCGATAAATAAAATGACAGGATTTTTTTTGTTGTGTTATTGCTTTTGGCTGGTTTTTGGTGATTCGCACCCTCATAAATCCCAACTTTTTAGTCAACAATTTTTTGAGTAGGATTTTACAGATAATCATATTTCTATTATTTATGGTTTTAGGGTGTGACTGAAGTAGGGCATAGAAAAATCCCTTTCAAATTTGAGAAAGACTTCATTGGAAAGGTTCTGAGAAAAGACAACATAAATTAGAATAAGAATGTACTCATTTTGCATCAAGTCTTAGAATCCCGGATTATTGGCCCCGAGTAGGGTGACAGCGAATTGGATACTTTCAATTTCCATACTTCATATTATTCAGTTGGCTCTGAAACTACATTTTGAACTCATATTCTTTTCCCTTGATTTTGCATTTACTATTTACTGTTCTTGTTTTGTCTTTGGCATGAGTCTGAGCCTTCTGTGTTGATAGGTCAGCATATGACTCCCAGGGCATTGACCTTGGAACACAATGAGCTCTTCGTAATTTCACTGTTTATGGCCTGAATGGTTGGATAAGGACTTGTCTGGGAGATGAGACATAATTCTTCAGGGTTTTGTCTTTGACGTGTGGATTTTATGATTGTGGATGGTTTGCTTATTGCCAAATGGCAACTTGTACTTGGTTTTTTGGGGTCAGTATCATTTAATACTAAGCCGTCTCTGTGTTAGTCTTGTCATGAAATGTTGCCTAGCAAAGACATACACAACAACAAAATGGAAACCAAGAGAGCAGAGCACAGAAGGGTTAAATAAATAAGTAATGATGAGCTTATGGAAGTGAAAAGTCATCATCTAAGCCTTGCCTGGCCCTCGGACAAGAATCATTTTTTTTACATTACCAACAGAAGGGTAATTTTTGAACTCAAAACATAATTTTGTTTTGTAAAAAGTAAGTTTTTTTTAAACTTTGAAAGGAATGGAATGATAGAAATAGTATAGAACAATTGAAATTTAATATAAAATTCTAATAAGCAGACTTGGGACTTGGAAATTTAAGTGGTCATATTCCATTTTTCTTTTTCAAAGGAGATTAATTTATGAGTTAGAATCCGTGTACCAGAATAATATATATATATATAATATATATATTTTCATAGTATTGAGAAAAGAATTACAGTTATGTTATTTTGCAATAGATTGTTAAAGCCCAAGAAGAATCAACTACACACTTCCTACCCCATGCCGGATAGATGTTGGATTATAAATTTATGTAAATATATTTGACTTCAAGAAATGAACTACTAGTTTTAATAGTCAGCAATGCTCAAGTGAAAGATGCATATAAATTGTAAGCATGGCAAGAAACCTGGGATAACCTGAAAAATAAGAACTAAGAAAATAACGGACACCAAACAGTCTGATAAACTCAAGTACTTTTAATAATCCCGAAAACAGAATCAATCTTGCCATTATTATGAAATGCACCTCAACCTTACTAACCTAATCTAGTCTTCATCCTGAATTTCAATGGAAATGATATAGAATGACACCTTTTTAGTACTTGTAGTCCTTGACATGGAGGCTCTCGGAGGCACCCTCACCAAGCTTGGCGTCACCCTTGTAGGTTCCTAGAGTAGCCTCTGAGTTAGCCTTGCACCTTGTCAGGAAGGCAGCCCTGGCCTTTTCCACATTCTCCTCCTTTCCTGCCCAAGCCTTGAGGGTGCTCTGCTGAAGGGCACGTCCGAACGAGAAGGAAAGAGACCATGGCTTCTTTGTCTTGAGCTTGTTCATGGCATTGAGGTTGAGGGTCGCCTCTTCCTCACTCTGCCCACCAGACAGGAAAACAATGGCTGGAACTGCTGCAGGGACTGTGCGTTGTAGGGCACGGACAGTGTGCTCGGCAATCACATCTGGGGTAGTCTTTGGGGCATCAGATCCAGGAGTCACCATGTTTGGCTTCAACAGAGTGCCCTCAAGCAAGACATGATGGTCGTTAAGAGCCTTGTAGCATGCGGCAAGAACGCGCTCGGTAACTGCTGCACATTTGTTGATGTCATGGGATCCATCAACAAGGATCTCAGGCTCAACGATTGGGACAAGGCCATTTTCCTGGCAGATGGCGGCGTATCTGGCCAAACCATAAGCATTTTCATGGATAGCCAACTCAGAAGGCTCATTAGGGCCAATCTTGAGGACAGCACGCCATTTGGCAAAACGAGCACCTGCTTCATAATACTTTGCGCAGCGTTGGCCAAGGCCATCGAGACCCTGAGTTGTTGTCTCACCATTGGTACCACGAAGCTCAACAGTACCCTTGTCAACCTTAATACCAGGGAGGACTCCACCCTCCTTCAATACATCAACAAAGGGCTTGCCTGCATGATGCAAACCATCATATATTGCAATTAATACATCAAAAACCACTGCAAATCAACCTAAACTCTATATTTATCGAGATCGTCCAATGGAAAATACCGTCAGCAGTCTTCTGGTAGAGGGTTTCCTCAAAGAGGATTACTCCACTAAGGTACTGAAGGGCTCCGGGGGTGCAGAAGAGGAGCTCGCGAAGTGCCCGCCTGTTCGATTCAACATTCTCAACATTGATGCTGGAAAGACGCTTGCCAATTGTACCAGTTGACTCATCAGCAGCAAGGATGCCCTTCCCAGGGGTTCCAATGTACGCAGCATTTTTAATGAGCTCATCTGCAAGATTTACAAATTCAAAAATTGTAGCTCTTTTTTTTTCCTCTAAAAATCCGTCCTAGCAGATTATAAGATTCCCAACCCCAGCAAGTACCATAAACGCATTATCTGCTTTCTATCCCTGCTTTTCTTCAATCAATTTTGCCATCTATTCCTCAAACAAAGATGTCTTTTGAATCAAATCAAAAGATATCAGCATCATTCATGATCCATATTAAAGCTTGTTCATCAATCACAGACAACAGAATCATGCTAAAACTAAATCTCTGAATTCTTAATCCATACGGGTAGTAATATGTATGCAATTCAGATCTATATTTCAACAGAAATGAACACGACCAAATAACCATATATGCATATCACACGCACGCACGCACGCACGCACGCAAATACCAGTAAAACAACAAACAGATATCCAACATAATATGAATAAAAACGCGAACCTTTGCATACAGATAGGCACAGTTGACGAAATGATAAAAAAATCAGTCTGAATCTCAGGCATTGAACACAGAATAGAAATGGAGAATGGGATCTAGTTACCAGATACATCGAGAATTGCGTAACATTGAAAAAGGAGGGAAAATATGTAAAATCATAAACAATGGAAGAATTGGAAAAGGAGGAGGAGAGCTTACCGGCGTATTTACTATCGAAGCAAGACATGATTGATGATAATTGTGAAGTAAAACGAAGAAAAGGGTTCGCTTCAATCGAGATCCACACCGCAAGGGGAGGCAGAGCAGGTTATTAGGGTTCGTTTTTATAGGGGCAAATGGTAGTTAAAGTAGTTTCAGAGGCGAAGAGAATCATTCAATGCCACAAACAGAATATTCTTTTTTTATTGGGTTAATTTTTTTTTTTTTTATAAAAAAATATATAAATCTTATAAAAGTAAAGAAAAACAATTTTAATTAATTACATGTTACATAATATATATTTCTAAATATAAAAATATAATTTAATTTTAATTAATTATAATATGTATTATATAATTACATTTTATATATAAACACCGTATAATAATTTAATTTTTATTTAATTATTTACTTTTTTAAATTATGATACGAAAATATACTCATAAAATAAATTACCATTTTATACGATTTTATTTTTTATACTAAAAAATATTACATCATATTTTAAATAATTATTTTAATTAATAAAATATATTTTTTTATTCATAAACTTAATAAATTTTAGTTGTCAAATTATTTTAATTATTCACATATATATATATATATATTCTTACAATATATCAATATATATATAGTATAAAAAAATTGGTACTTTTAAGTTATAATAATTCAATAATATATATATTTGTGATGATATTTCATTATTATTATTATTTTTAAGAATTTAAATAGATAAATCAGACGTGTAAATCTTTCATCTGTTTTAATTACAAATTTTAATCAACGAAATTTTTTTTTATTTATATCTAATATATAATTATAGAATTGACTTTGTCCGATCATTTTATAATTTTTTTAAAAATATATGATTTATTTAATAATAAGATTAAAAATTATAAAATATTTATTAATTAAATAAAAATAAAAATTAAACACGTATAATATAAATACTAACGTTATATATATATATGTATTATTTTTTTTAAATTTAAAAAATATATAAAAATTAAATTATTTTATTTAAAATAATAAAAATAGGTAAAAAAAAAAATATTGAAATTATTTTTAATTTGAAATTTAAATGAAATAATTAAAATTTGGTAAAATATTTAGAATTTATTTCGTGGGGACGAACAGTGGTTTATATGGAAGGAAAACAACTGTCGAGTTTGTACCAGTGAGGGGGGGAGTCAAAGAGGGACAGTGAGATTCATTCAGAAATTTAAAGGTGGACGGTCAATGGAGAGCAGAAAAGAGAAAAAGCAGAATTCTCGCGAGAAAATGACAGATATGTCCTCACCATCGCCACCATCACCAACGCCAACATCACAAACACCCGTCCATTAGGACTCTTTCTCCCCCACAATTTGGTCCCTCTCTCTCTCTCTTTTTTTTTTTTTTCTTTTTCTTTTTTCTTTTGAGCTTTTGGAGTTTGGTTTTCAATCGAAACCCTAGAGAATTTGAGTCTCTTTGCTGTCTCTCTGTTCGAGAATGGACTGATTTTCTGCTTTTTTTTTTTTTTTTTTGAAACTTGACGGGGGGAGGGGGGGGATAGAGAGAGGTTTTGTTGTCTGTGCGGAGGGAAGATGTCTCGCCAAACGACGTCGACTCATTTTCATAAATCCAAGACGCTTGACAATAAATACGTAAGCTGATTATCAGAATTTTTGATACCGTTTTATTTTTCACGATTCTCGAGTACTTGTTTTAGGGTTTTGGTTGATCGGCATTTGGTATGAAAGTGGAGAATTATGAGGAGAGAAAAGAATTTGGTTTCTTTTATTTTTTAGTTAATTTATTTACTGAATTCTCGTTTGAGCTGAGGCTTTGAGTTTTCCAGAAGAAGCTTCCATGTGGATTGGGAATTGTGTTCTGTACCTGTAACTTGTTCTGTGGGAAAATGAGGGGGGAGGAAAAAAAAAAAGAGAGATGAAGAAATAACTGGAACTTAGAATGTGTAGGGTTCGGGTTTGGAAATGTAGGTTAGGGTGGTTTAATTACTGAAAATTATGTAAGTCTTTATTTTATTATTATTCTTGTTAACTTTCCTGCACTTTTTTAATTAATTAAACTGATTATTACTTAGAATCTGCTTATAAATGATGATGCTTGGGTTCCTTTGCTTGATGTTAACTGTTGGATTCCATTTATGGGGACTGTGTTTTTCTGAATCTCGCTTGGCGCAGATGCTCGGGGATGAGATTGGGAAAGGAGCATATGGCCGGGTTTACAAAGGCTTGGATTTGGAGAATGGAGATTTTGTTGCAATTAAACAAGTCTCTTTGGAGAATATTGCTCAGGAGGATCTTAATATCATCATGGTTTGATTTCATTTTTCTCTTTGTTTGGTTGAAATCCCTGTACTTTGTCACTTCTGATTTTGGAATATAAAGACTTCTTTAGTTATCTGAATTTGATATATCCGAGAAGAGTTTTGCTAAATTACAAAATTCTTAGAATCAAATAGGGATACCATTATGAGATGTTTCTTTAGGTGAATAGAACTTTGTGTACAATTTTCTATTGAGATAGGAGAAGATTTTCAGTCACCATAGCAGAGTTTTGAGTAAACAGTTAGGTAACTTATATATTATTGACTTAGTGTTAATGCATACAAATAGACATGTAGAATCACATTTTTCTCAATAATAGACTAGTGAAAATTCTTGATTTTATGAAGCTGTCGGTGAAAATGGGATACCATATCAATTTATACCCGTTATATAAAATAATTTCCCATTGAATTAAATCAGATACATCAAACTATTGAACTAGCTTTGACCAGCTTGCTGATAAAAAATGGTTGACATTATGAATGTTTTATCTTTTATGAACAGTGAGACACAGGTGAGGAATGATTTTTTTTTTCCCCTTGAAATAATGATGGGTAATAAGTTTTAGTGGAGCTTCTTTTATGAACATTATTATCTTTTTCACTAGACTAAGTTACATATTTTATGTGGTCCACTAATTTCTCCGATTTTTCTAGTATGATCAGGCTACTCAAACCTGATTCTTCGTTTTTTTTTCCAGTATACAAAGATAATGATATGCAACCCATTGTCTTCTACATTATGCGACTGACTAATTGAATTCCTCTTTTTTTTTTTGGGGTTCTGGATGTTGTTTATTTTTCGGGATGCATTCACTAGCAAGAGATTGATCTCTTAAAGGTAGGTAGTTCTTTTCCTTCCAGTCATTGCATTTGCATGAGTTCTTTATATTCGTTGCTCGAGCCTGAGTATGCACCTAGCATCAGCACCAGCTACGTATGATGGAGCTGAAATAAATTGTCCAATCAGTAACTAAAAGAGTTTGAATGACTCGATCATTCGTAATTTTACTGCAGAACACAATGCTTTAAGCATGTTTTTACCCTAACACGTTACATTTGTGCTGATGTGCTATTTCTAAATGGCTCTTTATGTTCACCTAATCATTTGTGTGACATAACTTGCATACTTCTAGTGGCCCCTGAAAGCAAAGCTTAAGGAACTCCTTCTCTTACAGAATTTGAACCACAAAAATATTGTGAAATATCTTGGATCGTTGAAGACAAAAACTCATCTTCACATAATTCTTGAGTAAGTGGGCTATTTTTGTGACGATATGGTTTAATATGAAACTGTACTTTGAAATTTTAAGTCTTAATTACTGGATGTTGTTGACAAGGTATGTGGAGAATGGCTCCCTTGCTAACATCATCAAGCCTAATAAGTTTGGCCCTTTTCCAGAATCTTTGGTGGCTGTTTACATTGCTCAGGTTTGTGTTTGTTGTGTTAGCTTATATTTTTTCCCAGGATACTGTGCTAATAATCAGTGTGGCACAGGTTTTGGAGGGTCTGGTATATCTCCATGAACAAGGTGTTATTCATCGGGATATTAAGGGTGCAAATATATTGACAACCAAGGAGGTACATTCAGCTGTTGTTTTCTTTTTGTTCTAAGAAAATTATGCTATTGTTTTATGAAGAAGACTTTATTTCATAGTT